AATTTTATTCGACATATAATAGCTCACTTTCCCTAATCATAACCGACCAATTACTTTGATAATTAAACCACTAATAGCTCGATAAGTACTTATATAAGTTTGCATGAAGGAAAATTGTGGAAACGTAGCTTTAGTTAAGAATGGGGAGGATAGGGTGTGTGATCCTTATGATATGTCATTGAATGTCTCCCGTGTCCCTTGTTAGTATCATAATAATGTGATTTCTTAAGATTTCCCATGCATTTAAATCCCTTTTATTGTTCATATGAGTGTGGAATTATTTGGACTTAAATCAGTGCATTTTCGTGACTTTCCCAAAGTAATTCCTCCTTCACAGTCACGTTCCAGAGGGGCGTTGGCAGGAGGTCGACCACCCACCACGTGCCCACTTGGCGAGCTGTCGTAGGCTCCCAAATTAAAACCTTACAAACGTAGTAGCGGGAGTAAGGGTCGATCCCACGAGGAGTAACTAGTTTAACGTATGTGCTCAAATTAAAAGAAAGGGAGGGGTTTGGTATGAAAGTGATAATCAAAGTATATAAACGAATAAAGCAATGAAAACAATATATTGAAAACACTTATAATAGAAAACCTTGGTTAGTAAAGATCCACCACTGGAATTTAACACTGATCATTGATTCAAAAAGTAATTAATATGCAATTGAATATTTGTCGTGAAGTTATTTCATTTCCGTTTTCCCTTAGTTGTAGGTAACAAAAGCACACGCGGTTTAATTACCCCTAACTACTAAATAACCTAAGACAAGCGCTATAGATTTAATTTAATAGCAACAATAGGAACTAGGAAAACCGACAAACTAAATAAAACAAGCACAAGCAGTTGCATTTAATTTAGGAAAATACTCTTCCTGAAACCAATTATCACTAAGCCGTCAATAATTAGTCTCAGTTGCTACTGAATATTAGAATAATTTGTAGCACAACATTATCTAATATAGCAAATAATTATATCAAATAACTTAGAAGAATATTTAATACTGAAATGCATAAAAATTATATACCAAAATAAATAAATAATCTTACAGCATAATCAATTTCGGGGCTTCAATTCACTAAATCAAGCTAAAGAAATTAGCAACGAATGGACATTGATAACAGCTTTAAAAAATAATCGAGAAGGGAAGAATGAACATTTTACAATAAAAAACCTACACTATTTATACTACTCCTAAAAATAAACTCTAAAAATCTCCACCATCAATTTTCCTATTCTTTTGCCGTTGAAGCACTCCTCCGCATGATATCCGCACTCCTGTACAAATGAAAGAACAATTCAAACATAAAGTTTTGAATTGTTTTAATTTCACAAAGATATATGTAATATAAAATTTTCTCTGCCTTGTCTAGGGTTTTCGTCTTCCTCTAGGTTAACCTAGGTTTTCCGGCAGCAGCACACGACAGGCGACGGTTTCTTCCGGCCTGTTCGACGAGGACGATGGAGACGACTGCAGAGGATGGAGTAATCGCGGGATTGACGGAACGATGGAACGAACTCGTTCTGGAAGAGGAAGAAGCCACGCTAGTTCCGGCCGAGGAGGAGGAGGGTGAGGCGGAGCAGGCTATGGAGGAGGAGGAGACTTGGGTTTTGGTTGGGCGATTTCTAACGGAGAAGGCGATCAAATTTGAATTCATGCTGCAGGTGTTTGCATCCGTATGGCAACCGGTGCGTGGGGTTCAAATAACTGAGGTTCAACCGAAATTATTCATGTATGTTTTCTGTCATTCTACGGATATGCAGTATGTGTTAGAGGGTGGTCCCTGGGCATTCCAGAATCACACGCTAGTATGTCAACAACTTCAGCCGGGCGCAATTCCGACCGAGGTAGCTCTTGACACAGTAGAATTATGGGTCCAATGCTATGACATACCGTTTGGATATACAACGGAAAAAATTCTGGAGCAGATTGGGAATTTTTTGGGGGCTTTCGTTAGATTGGATGATCGTTTCCTCGATGCACCATGGCTAACATATTATCGGATAAGAGTTGCAATCCCGGTAGACAAGCCGATTAAGCGAATGATGAGAATGATGAAACGAGATAAAACGTATTGTTGGATCAATTTCAGGTACGAGAGGCTACACACTTTTTGTTTTTATTGTGGAATGATGGGACATTCTTATAGGTTTTGTCTAAAAGCTCGGAATGCTACCGTGCCGGTCGAATAGTTTCCTTACAATGATGAATTGAGGGCAGGGGGTGTGCGTGGCCCAAGACAGATTGGCGATGCATGGTTGGTTCCATTGGGGGGTAAGCCGAAAGGGAGTGTGAGGGAGGTGGTGGAACGGGGAATGAGGGGCGGGGTGAGAGAAGACAGAATGGAGAAAGAGGGGGGTGTGCATGAGGCAGTGTGTGCGGTGGCCAAAAGGAGGAGGGGGGTGGATGAGGGGGAGGGCGGGCGTGGGGTGAATAAGGAAGTTGGGGTGGGACATGATGTTGCAATGACAGATGTACAAAAAAACTTGCAGATGGCGGGTGCTGCGGTGCAGACCTGCCCGACCCAATGAGTACTTTGAGCTGGAACTGCCGTAGCTTGGGTAATCCACGGACAGTTCGGGAAATTGAGGACATGGTGTCCCGCAAGAAACCCGATTTTGTATTTCTGATAGAGACCAAAGTTAACCGGGATCATGCTGAGCGACTCCGGGTTAAGCTTGGTTTTGATGGTTTGTTTAATGTCGATAATTCTGGACTGAGTGGTGGGTTAGCATTACTGTGGAGGTCGAATAACACAGCAAGGTTATTGAGTTATTCTGATAATTATGTAGACATGGAGGTGAGTATGCCCGGATTTGAAAAGTGGAGAATGACAGGTTTCTACGGCTTTTCAAAGTGACCGCAAAGAAGGGATTCGTGGGACCTTATTCGTACGCTGGCAAATAAATCTGATCTACCGTGGGTTATGATAGGAGATTTTAATGATCTCTTATTTCAAAATGAGAAACGGGGAGGTAATCCGCATCCTGATGCTTTATTACGGGGATTTGGAGAGACTATTGAGGAGTGTGGATTGGCTCAGTTACCCATGACAGGATATCCTTTTACTTGGCAGAAGGGAAAGGGTACACCAAACTGGATAGAGGAAAGATTGGACAAGATTTTGGCTACACAGGGATGGAGGGATCTGGTACCTGATGCTAGTGTGCTTAATATGTTGACCCGTAAGTCAGATCATTCAGCTCTTTTCCTTGGGATTCTCAATCTTCAGAATCCCAAGGAAAGGATAAGTGGTCTAAGAAGGGGTTTTAGATTTGAGATGGCATGGTTACATGATGAAGGTTGTAGGGGTGTGGTAGAAAAGGCCTGGGAGGAAGGAAGGAGTAGAGGGTTACAGGAGTGTGTCACAATTTGTGGTGAGCGGTTAACACGTTGGGGTGGAGACCGTTTTCACAAATTCGGGGAGAGAATACTGAATTTAAGGAAGGACCAGATGCGACTTAGAGGGCGTACGGACCCGGGATCATTAGCTGAATTTTGAAAGATAGAGGACTGTTTGACTAATATTGAGTTGCAGGAGGATACATACTGGAGGCAGAGAGCCAAACAGCATTGGCTTAAGAACGCGGATGCGAACACCAAGTTTTATCACAGGTACGCTTCTCACCGAAAGAAAAAGAATTCTATTATGAAACTTAGAATAGTAATGGGGATTGGATTGAGGGTGATGCCATGAGGAATAGTATCTTGCATTATTACCGTGATATCTTTGACTCGAGTTCTCCTGTTATTAATGACAACTTCTTTGAGAGCATACAACCGCGTGTGACAGCTGCGCAGAATGAAAACCTGTTGCGCCCTTTTGATGAGAGTGAGATTAAATCTGCATTATTTTCAATGTTTCCTGATAAGGCTCCTGGGCCGGATGGGATGAACCCTGGATTTTATCAACACTTCTGGGATGTGGTGGGTACTGATGTTTCTACTTATATTGTTAATTGTCTCAATACGAATTCGTTTCCAAATAACTTGAATGAGACGAATATTATACTGATCCCGAAGAAGAAAACCCCAGAGACGATTTCTGATTATAGGCCAATTGCATTGAGTAATGTGGTATACAGAATTATGGCCAAAGTTATTACGGCTAGAATGAAGCCTTTGATGGAGAGTATCATATCTGAGTCGCAAAGTGCATTCATAGCTGGGAGATTGATAACTGATAATATATTGGTAGCTGCGGAAGTATGCCATTATTTGAACAGGAAACAATGTGGACTCATGGGTTGGGGGGCTTTAAAGCTGGATATGGACAAAGCCTACGACCGTATGGAATGGTCCTTTTTACAAGGAATGTTAATGGCCATGGGGTTTGATGGAAGATGGGTGGAATTACTAATGATGTGTGTAACCACTGTATCTTATAATGTGTTGGTGAATGGGACACGGAGTGAGCAGATAATCCCGACTCGTGGTTTAAGACAAGGGGATCCCCTTTCACCATATTTATTCATTATTTGTGCAGAAGGGCTTTCACTATTGTTGCAGCAGGCACAGGCAAAGGGAGAAATACATGGGTGTAGGGTGGCAAGAGGAGCACCTTCCATTACCCACCTATTCTTTGCCGATGATAGTTTACTTTTTTCAAGGAAAATGTGCAAGAGGCACAAGTAATTAAACGATGTTTGTCAGAGTATGAAAAGATGTCTGGTCAAGCAGTAAATTATCATAAGTCAAATATTTGTTACAGTAAAAATACACGTGGAGAGATAAGGGAGGAGGTGGCCAATATATTGGGGGTGGTGCAGGCTCCGAATTTTGGGAAGTATTTAGGACTTCCATCGTTTGTGGGCAGAAACAAGAGGGCAGCATTCTCTTATATTGAGGATAAGATAAGACAGGGGATCAGCTCATGGAATAAAAAATTGTTGTCGCAAGCAGGAAAGGAAGTTTTATTAAAAAGTGTAGCCCAATCTATGCCTACCTTTTCAATGAGTGTTTTTTTTACTGCCTATGACTTTATGCACTGCCATTGAGCGAACCATGAATCGTTATTGGTGGAGATCCAAGAATGAACAAGGTATACATTGGAAGGCATGGGATAAACTATGTATTCCAAAGAAGTATGGAGGGTTGGGATTTAAGGACTTACATGCCTTTAATCTTGCCATGTTGGGGAAGCAAGGGTGGCGTATTCTGACACAGCCGCAATCATTAGTTTCGAGAGTTTATAAGGCCAGGTATTATCCCACTAATTCTTTCTATGAGGCATGCTTGGGTAATAACCCAAGCTTTTGTTGGCGGAGTATTTTGGCAGCTCAGGAGTTAATTTGTGGGGGTGTGAGGAGAAGAATTGGGAATGGTAAAACAAATTTAATTTGGGACCACCCATGGTTACATGATGAAAACCACCCGAGGATACAAACAGAAAAACCACCCCAATTGGCGCAGGCAAAGGTGATGGGACTAATGGATCAACAAACTAGAACTTGGGATCCGGATATTCTCACAGATATTTTCATATTGGAGGATGTGGAAAGAATTAAAAAAATACCTGTGTCACTTGATTATGATGATTTGTGGTACTGGTATGGGGATCCAAATGGTGAATATTCAGTCAAGAATGGGTATAGGAGACTAGTGGGTAATTTCTCCCAACCACTAGGGACCTTTGATAAATGGAAGATTTTATGGAAACTCAAAATCCCACCAAGGTGGAAGACATTTCTATGGAGAGCTCTGAATAATATCTTGCCCACCACAAACAATCTACTTATAAAGAGGGGGATATTGATCCAACATGTGCTATGTGTGGAGCATCACATGAGGATATAGTGCATTCCTTGATCACATGTGGCTATACAACAAACATTTGGGCACAATCTCACATTCCAATCCCCAATAGTGTCACAAATGTTTTCAGTGATTTGTTTAATGATTTGATGAATATTTTAGATGATAATCAGATTATTTATGCAGTGGCAATTCTATACTACATTTGGCGTGCGAGGAATGGGGCTGTTTGGGACGCATGTTTGTCCAGGCCTCAGAAAGTAATTGCGATGGCGTCTTCAGCTGTACACTCGTGGAGAATTGCGCACCCGACGCATGTACAATTGCAGGCCGATGCGGCTGTAGTGGACCACGGTGGAGCGCCAACTGCACTGCTGCTGAATGCCGCAACCAATACTGCCGAACCGGCAGTGAACGGCCTGCTGCCTATGACCAGCGCTGTGATGATGCCACACGAACACCAACTGCCACAAACAATTGCGCCACACGCGGATCCCCTCAAGTGCTACGTCGACGCGGCGTACGACCCACAAACGAACAAGGCGGCGGCGGGTGCTATTATTCTAGATGCGCAAGGAGGATATATTTCCGCAATGACCACCCCTATATCAGATTGTTTTACACCACTAATGGCGGAGGCTCTAGCGTGCAAGGAAGTATTGTCATGGTTGAGAGATCGCGGTATAAACTCTATCCAGCTCTTCACAGATTGCTTAGTACTACAACAATATCTATCATCTACGACTCAATCATCACGGTCTTACTTGGGCTATGCCATTGATAGCTGCAGGACTAGTATGTTGACTTTTGAGAATTGTTTAATTCGACATGTTCCTATATTAGATAATTATTTAGCTCATACTTTAGCATCTATTGCCGTTACTCAGACGACAGTTATGTATTCGGACTCAGGTCCACCAGCTGCTATTTTTGCATATTTTGAATAAATGCCGTACAGACTCCTTTCAAAAAAAGAATTGTTTTAATTTCATGCATGCATATGTAATATTATATTTTGCCGTATAAAGTTTTGTAATATATATATTTAGAATGCATATGCAAACAAATACGTAGGCTAATATATATATTGGTGTTTTATATATTATTTATTATATATATAATTTATATATTATATATTATATATAAAAAGAACTAATTATAAGAGAATATTAAATAACTAATGTAAAATTATTATAAAGATTTACCTAAAATATGAGTGTAAAATATGCCTACCAAATTCCCCCACACTAGAACGTTTGCTTGTCCTCAAGCAAAAATATTATTTACGAAATAAAAGTAAAAGAAATTTCCAAAGCTCATAACACATCATGAACAATCTGAAGCACCCTGCAATTAATAAGGTAGCACCCCTGTCTGAAAATTGAGAGAACTAAATAAGTAAGCCCTTACAGGAATATCACTCATCAGTCAAGTGTTTGATGGGTATAAATTTCACTCAAGTTCATTCCTATAAAATTGCTCTATCATAGGCTTGCATATCTTCTCAATCGCCACTACAATAGCGATGCATGACACAAATCATAAGGACTTTTCACAAGTTGTAATGGGGCTAGGGTTAAGGTAGGGAACATTTTTGGAAAGTAACTTAAACAAAAGCTTTCAAACTAGAGGAGCAAATAAATACAAACAAACCAAGATCCTCAATTCCCGTTCAAAAATACATCATATTGAGGTTCCAACATGACTATCATTCTCAAGGGTATAGAACTCTTCCTCAGTATTACCAGAATTTCCACTTGCTTCATTTATAGAAGTAACTTCAACTCAAAACCAATTGCTGATTCTTTCTCATTTTCTCATAAATTTTCAAAAATATTTTTCTTTCAACATATATTCATCATTTCTCCCATTTTTTCATTTTCTCAATTTCCATATAATTTTTTTTGTAATCATGAACTGTCTTCGTTTTTTTTTTTTTTTTTTTTTTTCATAGAAGACCAACGACAAATTAGCAATGAAGATACAACCGCCTCACTCTCAATCATCTTAACAAAAGTAAGTGATCTCCCCCACACTTATTCTTCACAATATCACGCTGATTACAAGAATAATTTAAAATTTGCTCCACTAGTTATTCAGCTGGGTGAAGGCATTATTTTTAGATATAAAAGGCTTGTAATGTGGTTCAAAGTAAAGAAAAGAATGACCATAAAGCACAAAGTGAGTTAACAAATGGGAAATAAATCATTGGACAAACCGGTTATTTGACTAGAGAGGCTCAAAATCAAATAATGGTCTTAATCACACTTGAATCATGCATGGTCTAATTAGCTCTAAAAGAAAATCAAGGCAAGTTCTAGAGAAACAAAATTATGGAAGAAATCACACAATAGAAGAAAATAGACCGAAGTGTCAGTCAATGGCTCAAAACACTCACAGGTTTATTGCTTACTTAATATACCCACTGCATATCAAACAGGAAATGCTAACAAACTAATCATAACTTGCCAAACTATTTATTCAATCATGATATGAATTCAAAGAAAGGAAAAATATAATAATTTTTCAAAGTAATACTTATTTTGCATAAAATACTAGTAAAATATTTTTTTTTTGAAAGTCTTTTTTTTGTTTAAATTTTGACAGAAGCAAACAAATAATTAAACTAAATTCCCTCCCCCACACTTTGTGACACCCCAAAAATCCACACTCCAATCCATGAATTAATTGAGTAATTAATTCTATTTCTCTTGAGGAATTGATTCCTAAAATCCTGATTTTTAATACTCAAGGACTAGTATTTGACTAGTCAATCTTTAAGTTGTGTTGTACCTTGTGCTTTGAGAGGAGTTCCCTTATTCCTTACACTTTCTAAGAGTTAGTAAGGGTATCCTTGTCTTTTCACCAAGAGCTAGTGTTGTAATCTAAACCTAGAAGACTTCTTCATTTCATTCTTTACAATTCCTAGAAAAATATCTCTACCTTCTCTCTAGAAAAGAAGAGTAGCTTGTTCTTCAATGTAACACCCCCCGAAACACGTCTTAAAGACAAGTCTTAACACATGCAGATTAACAACAAAACACTAGCACTTCGGAAGATAAAAAAATAACTGGATAAAAGGAATCCAAAACGGGGTGTTATGCCACGTATACCACACTAGATATACGCTACGGCGACAATCTGCAAGTGCAACACTATCCCAAAAACAACAAACTAGAACAATCTAAAGACATTGGCACACAGGCCTCAACAACACTGTCTAAAGATACAGGTGCTAAGCTACCGGCTCTAGACATCGCGCTCGACTATGCATCACCTGAAAGATACAAAGATAAACATCGGGGCGACGCCCGGTCAGCGAAAGATGCTGGTAACCCACCAATACCGTTAAGTATCATAAATAGGTAGATATATAATTTGAAAACCATTTTCGAAACGGAATACATATATATAAGTCAAAAGCCAAGATCAAAAGACAACACAAGACTCGCCACTCACAAGGATAAAACCGGGAACACATCCCAACCACAAAGATTAACCACACACAAGGATAAAGACTCACCCACCGGCAACACATGCCAAAACACCACACCACAAGTCTCCGTGACTACACATGTCACGAGAGAAGAGAACTCACCACAACAACGGCTTCACAAGCCCTCGTGACATCACACATCACGAGTTGATATGCCTTCCTTATGCCCTGTTCCAACCTTATGGCTACCCCCAACCTTGTACCTTCGGTGCCAACCATTACCTCCAGAAAACCCCTGTACAGCCAAGTCCAACCTTATTCCGCCGGACCGTCGTCCCCCACCTACAGACCACCAACGAAAACCCACCAATTCACGGCAACACATGCCCGGATAACACAATGTTATCCCCCAAACACGTGGACTCAGCCACAACTCCATGAAATCACGTCACGGCCACCACGAGGACCGCTGCAATACCTTGGTGACTAGTGTCCCATACCACTAATCGTGTAATCCAGGTAGAGCCACACACGCACCACCACTCACACGAAAGTCAAGAAACGGATTACAACGAAGGTATGAAACACACTCAATCAAGAGACAGGTCACCACCCATCGACAACAACGACGCTAGCATTAAGATAATAACTAGCAAGCTTAACAACGAGGAAACTCGAGATAGTTCCGAGGAACACACAAGACACCACACGGTTCAACGAAACACAATGTTGAACACTTAGCACGATTCACAACACCAAAGATCCTACATGGATACCTACCATAAAGCTCTAGACCTACGAAACATCAAGAAGACGCTCAAATAGTTCCACCAAAGAACAACGGGTGGCCAAAAGATCAAAGACCAAGACAAACGAATCACGGGAAACAAATCCCGAACCAACTCCACCGTGTTCCCCGCGGGTGGACCCACGGGTAGTGCCCCACCCGTGGTCCCGCCCGCGGGTACACAACCCGCAGGGCACACGTTCCCCGCGGGTAGGCCGGCGGGTGGTGCCCCGCCCACCGTTCTGCCCGCGGGTACGTCCCTGTACCACAACAAATCCCTTCGGGGATTTTCTCCTCCAAACACAAATTCAAGTCCAAAACATGCCAAATCTCACCAAACACAAAAAAATGACTTGAACCAAGGAAAATGTCAAGCAATGGCACAAAGGAAACCTAAACACAAGCTCTAGATATGCAATATCACAAGATAAATGCATAAACTCTCATATTTCATATCAAAACACAAGTAGAAGCCAAGAAATCATATATAGGTAAGCAAAATAGGTTTTGTAGAGCATGGGTTACCTCTTGAAGACCAAAAGACTCTTCTTACACCACAACAAGCTCTCCACTAAGCTCACTAGCCAAACCCACTTCAAGATCAAACCAAAAGATCATAAGAAAAAGACAACCAATATGGAACCAAAAAGACTAGACAAGCTTAGATCTTACCCTTCTAGATGCCAAAATTGAGGAAAGATTGAATCTTGGAAGCAAAACTTGGAATCTTGACAAAGGCTTCTATTGGCTTGAAGAACAAGCTATTCTTGTTTTCTAGAGAGAAGGTAGAGATATTTTCTAGGAAATGTAAGGGATGAAAAATGAAGAAGTCTTCTAGGTTTAGGTACAAGACTAGCTCTTGGTGAGAAGACAAGGATACCCTTACTAACTCTTAGAAAGTGTAAGGAACAAGGGAACTCCTTTCAAAGCACAAGGTACAACACAACTTAAAGATTGACTAGTCAAATACTAATCCTTGAGTATCAAAAATCAGGATTTTAGGAATCAATTCCTCAAAAGAAATAGAATCAATTACTCAATTAATTCATGGTTTGGAGTATGGATTTTTGGGGTGTCACATCCTCTCCCCCTTCAAAGAAGTTTCGTCCCCGAAACTTGGGTACAACGAATTAAAACGAATGGTAACAAGGAAACAAAATTGTGACAAGAAGTTTCAAGAATATCCCTTTTGGTCAAAAAAAACTCCAAAAGTTCTCACAAGGGTTCCAAAGCAAAGAAAAACCATTACGAATCTAAGGATAGGCAAGAGATCAACAAACGGATAGATTGGCATCAAGAACTCTAACCTCAACACAACAACCAACTTCTAGACAACAACCAAGAACTAAACTACTAACCCAAACACCAACCAACAAACTAGCTAAACAACAAGGCAACAAACAAAGCAAGCAAGCACACAAAGCACACAACAACCAAACACCAAGCTACAAAGGCTAAGAAACAACAAAGAAAGAAACGAACGGGGTTACCACAACACCACTAGAACTCTTCACTCTCTGACTCTTCGGCCTCTTCAGACTCTTCTTCTTCGGCTTCATCTCTGTGGCTAGAACTAGCTTCAAACCGATCCAGCCTCTGATGCACTGCGGCAAACTGCGACCTCACAAACGCAAAACCCTCGGCGATCAAACTGTTCTGCTGACGAAGCAAAGAGGCGACATCCTGCCCTCTCTTGGTGCGAACTTCTTCCCTTCTACGGCGTT